ATAAATGCTGGGACTCACAATAAAATCAATGGTTGAGATTATCAAGTCTAGTTTTTAAGTCTATTTTTTAAGTTCATGTAGCATTACTCATTATTATAATGACATTAACATTAGGGAGTATTTCATAGCGGGAAAATGGTGTCATCTGTTCAGCTCAAAATCACTAGGATTTAATATAGTTTTTTTTTTTTTCTTGAAGTGCACTAATACTATCACGAAAGTCTGTAAATTATTTTTGACCCTCTCAAGTATAACATCGTCGCACGGTGTACCATTTATGTCCTTTGTTCCCCATTGGACATCCAAGAATGTCTATCGATTTTACACTGCCCCAATTGGAGAAGTCCATCACAAACTAAATAGAAAGGTGTATTACTTTGCTCCAATTTATATGACATCATTTCATTTTATACTGAAATTTAATGAGAAATGAATAATTTACATCCAAAACATAATGATATAAGGTGTAATAGACCATTGTTTAAAATAACAGATAATTTAATAGTTGTTGATCCAGTGGTATGAAATTTTGTACCATCGATAGACACAGTGGTTTTCTAGCAAGAAAATATTACTGTATCTAATTTGGAGATCTAGTTCATAACTATTAGATGAAAATTTGGTCACATTTGACCTAGAAATTTATAATTAATCTAATGATATTAATAAATTAGGTCTTTAAATTAAATATCTAAATTAATTTCAAATAACATTGTTCATAAGGATTTTCGTGAAGGTGAGAGATTGATTACCAATTTAACAACTTGCGTAAATCTTCATGGATTATTCCTTGATCATCGTAGTCGATATCAAGAATGTGACGCAAAATTTTAGTTCCAACTGTCAATTGTTCGTAGAATGGGTAATAGATTTTCATATCAACACACTTTATTAGCTTTGATTTATATCCTTAATGTTATAAATTGGTAGTAATGTAGACCTCATCTAGACTGCTATTCAATATTTCGTCATAAATTGAAACACTTGAATTTCAAGTATTTTGGGCATGAGTTTGTGTCAATTCACAAACTGTTGACATCTTATGTGAGTTGCACGTGATTTGATTTGCATATATCTAATTGAGCAGACCTTATTTTCAATATACCAAACGGTGTCAATTGATCACAAATGAAGGTTTGCAGCGATCGACATACATCATTCTTATGCCTAAAGCACGTGCACCTTACATGTTTCAATTTATGATGAAAAACTGAACAGTAGTCTGAGTCAAGTCCACATTACTACTAATTCATAACATTGGANGCAGCGATTGACATACATCATTCTTATGCCTAAAGCACGTGCACCTTACATGTTTCAATTTATGATGAAAAACTGAACAGTAGTCTGAGTCAAGTCCACATTACTACTAATTCATAACATTGGATGTACAAATTGAGAATTTTAATATTTAAGGGTATAAATTAAGAATTAAAACATCTTTCGAGGTGCAAAGTGAGATTCGCCCTAATCTAAACTACGAGTAGACTCTCGCGTTGGTGGGAGGCAGACTCGGAAAGAATTCCTAGTCAGTTTTAACATAGGATAAAATTGTGCTATTTAAATTTGTTTACCAAATATTGTATCCTAAATAATGTGTTAAAATTCTATGTATTGAATATTTGGTGAAATTAGTGGACTCTATTGATCTAACCACTCACATTAATTTGGAATACAAAATTTGATAAATGATTTAATAACCATAACAGTGTTACTTGACATAATAAGCAACTAGTTAGGTCTTTATCATTTTTCGAATTTCACAGTACTTTTTGACAATTTCGTATTTATGAGTTTTTCTTGTATGGATGCATCTCGATATTGTGAAGGATTAATTACAACCAGCCACCCTCACCTATTAGATGGTCTCATTTAAACACCTTTGACTATTAAACCCGATGGATGGATCCCTTCAACCATTGCATTTTAAGAACCTTCCGTTCGTTTGACCGTTTAGAATTATAAGATTAAGACACCATTTTTTTTGGGTATCTGATGCAATATAAGTGGCGAGAATTTTGATATTTTATTGAACGGTGTTAATGTCATTTAATTAGAAAATTTAAGGAGATTTTGTTGTATTTTTTAATTTAATTAGGAAAATATTTTATTTTTATTTTATGATTTAATTTTATTTAATTTCCCGTTTTATTTACTACTTGCATACTTTATCGTGTGATATAGTTGTATTGCCCTTCGTTTTAACAGTTGATTGTATAATTCCATTTATTAACTCATGCTTGAAAACATAATAAAATATAAGATTCGAGGGTTCAAAAAATTGATCCCCTTATATCAATTAGTAATTTTTTATTTTTTCATTTCTTTGATGAAAAAATTTAAAATTAATTTCTACATATTATTTTCTTACAAATAGAGTCAAAATTTTCTCAAAATGTATAACCCGATAAAATTTTGTCAACATGTTTATATTATCGTATATGAAAAAAGTTTGAAATAAAAATTGTATTAAACCATAAATTAAACATATGAAAGAATTTGGTGATGTGATAATTTTGGGGAGCAAAATATATAGGGGATAAAAATTCAACTTCCAATGTATCTTATTATATAGATATATAAGAAATCTAATCACGTCAGAGATTGCCCAAACCCATTATTTTTTACTACAGGATTGCCAAAAAAATTTTGGTATTCATACGTCCAAAATTTATTACTTCAAAGGGTGTTTTTATAATTTTTGTGAGTTATTTTACAACAAAACAATTTACCACAGTTATGTGTATTTTTATCACTGTTGTAAGTATTTTTATCACATTTGTAGTAAATACTTTTACCACTTTTTGAAGTATAAAAAATTTATTATTTTTGTAGATGATTTATCATATTTGTGAGTGTTTTTACAATATTTGTTGATGTTTTTATCACTGTTGTGATAATTATTTTTATTATTTTTTTAGATATTATAATATTGGTAAAAATTACTATAAATGTGATAAATTTTGGTATGGTACTGAAATTTTACTATTGCAGTTAAATCCTAGTTTGACATTCATTTCCAATGAATCAACAAAAACTTCAAGTTCCAATGAGCTTGAACACCTTCTCCATAAATTTGCAAACCGCCAAAACGAATGATTTATGAAGCATGTACTTGCTTCCAAATCATCAACAGCATGATCAGCAAAAGGTTGAATGAAAAAATAGTGCAACTTCTTGAATGCTTTTCTTGGTGGCCACTCACTAAGCTTTCTGTCGGTGCATGAATGACAAAACTATTCCTTAGCCTTGGAGATGCTCTCTAGAAGCAAAGTCAATTAACAAAAACCAAACAAAATTATCAAAGTTGAGATGAGCATAAAGAGCAAAAACCAAGCGTGGTAGTGCAGCACTTATTTTGCTGTTTCTAATGAGAACTCTGCAGACTTGAGGGTCAAGTGGGTGAGAGCTAAGCAGCTCCTGGACTTGAAACATTAAATCATCAAACAAAATTATCTTCACATTTGCTTGAGTCTGGAAATCAATAGCTCGAACATAAGGATAAAACTAACTACTACTTCTCTCAAGTGCGCTATAGATTTACAGAATTTAGTTCCAAGGACGAGCCATTTATTAGTGAAAGAGTAATGATCACAAACTGCACTTCCTTTCTGGGGACAAAATATCAAAATTCAACAATGCAACATTAGCAGTTTTTTTCCGTCTCTTCCTTTACTTTCATTTTTGTTTTCGAGAATAGAGATCACAACAACAATTCTCCCCACAATTTTTTGGAGTTGGCCCCTCAAATTTATTTTAGTTTTCCTTAAAGAATAACCAACCTTGTATGAAGAATTTACCCTTCTGAACCTTAATTCAAGACTACAACAATGGACAACATACTTTCTTTTTTTTGGTTTAACGGCCAGAGGAAGCCTCCAGCAAAGAGCGTTCATGCAGGATAGTAGAATACTAAGAAATGTTGCTCCGGTTTGTTTAGATTAGCTGTTTTACGTCATAATTCATTTGTGTGAAATGAATGAATATAATGTTAGAATTTGAAAGAACTATATCTCCTCCGCTTTCACATTCCCTTGCGCGCAAACAGTGTCAAAGGTCTTACTTTGCTCACTAGCTAAGATACACAAAAGTTCAATAAAAGCTCTTGTAACTATTGGTATTTTTCCAATGTGGATCTTGTTAAACAATGTAATTTTTTCATATCTTAAAAGATATTTTCATTTTTACTAAAAAGATCTAAAAAAGAACTTTCAATTTATTTATTTTTATTAAAAATACTCTAACAGAAGGAACCATGTAATCTAAGATATATATAAGTTCACCATTTTGAGATGTTGTTTTCGATTAGCCTTTTAGACTATGGATTATCTTGTGATTGTGAAGATTGCATTCGGTTACTTTTTCTTTTCTCATCTTGCCTTAATCAGAAGGAAAAAAAATGCGATGATCAAATCTCCTTGCTTGCCAAGGAAAGTGCAATGTTGCTTATCCATACCAATTGGTGTATATTATATACATACATTTATGTATGTATATGGGGTTGTGTGCGTCTATATAGAGATTAAATTCTTTATGGATAAGCCAATAAACAATTGTTTACAGACAATCAATCAAAATTGAGGAACTTCATAAACACATAAAATCAATATTTACGATTTTTAATAAGTATGTATAATTCTTCAATTTTGATTGATTGTTTGTAAATAAATTGTTTACTTGTTTACAGGCTGCCTGTAAAGAATATATTTTCGTTTATATATATATATTGAGAGGGAGAGAGAGAGAGAGAGAGAGAGGTGCACAGCATCCAACAACATTAGCAACCCTAAACCAAACTCTTGCTGGCCCAGCCACAAGTAAAATAATTGCCCATGAACCTTAGTGGAAAAACTCAGTTTGCATATTTTATTGTCTGCCCTACAATTGATAGAACCTGCAAACGGACGTCACTCCAAAGGATGTATCGTCCTTAAATTCTAAATCCCCCACCAACAGCAAAAAAGAAAGGGAGTCCCATAAGGATTTCCACCATTAGAGAAATGGCTGAAGAATGCACCGAAAGCTCTGTTGCAGCATCTTCCTCTACACTTAATTGGTGGCCAGATCTTCATACAAGCTCTTCATGGAGTACTACTACGAACCCATGGCACACACCAAATCCTCATTCCAACTCTCCTGGTGAGGAAGATGTGTCCATGTCTACGTCTTTTACGAATGCTTCCAATCACTCTGGCCTAAGCGTTGAGTCCTCTCGTAGACTTGTTGAGTGTTCATCGACAAACGAATTGATTGGAGAAACAGCTCCTGATAATCATCTGTGGAGCCAAGTTTTCTTGTAAGTTTGATTGTTGCACCATATATATATATAAATGAAAAATATATATGAAGATAACTTTTATTATTCAACATATTCCCTCCCCCTTTTTTTTCAACATATATTGTGCATCTACATGCATATTGTATTGTGGGGGTGGGTACAGTATCTTTTTTCTTCAAAGAAAAATAGAAAAAAGTTGCTCTAATGGCTAGGTGGCTAGGTGCACATCTAGCAACGCCGATTTGACAAGATTTGTTATTACTGTTTGCAACCAAAAACCAACATATGTTGCAAGAACTAATGAAAAACAGTGATAGTGATCCAATAACTGGCCAACCATAGTTGGAATATATTATTTTCTAATTTATGCTGCTATAATTGGGATATATTTCTATAATTTATGCTGTTTTCGGACTTCTATTCTATATATGATTTTTATCTCTGTCCTTAAAGAAGACCCATAAAAACTTCTGAGTGATACCCTGCAGAAGTGTTGGGAGCAGTGGAGAATTACCCAACGGTCAAGATGTTGGAGAGAACTTGCTGGACTCATTACCCTCCAAGAATATATCTTCCAGTATGTTTGAACCAGCCTGTGACTACTTGAAGAAAATAGAAAACAGCTGGGAATTCACTAGCTCAACCTCTTATAACAACCTCGAAAAGCATTTTCATGGATATAACGACACCTTAATTGACAGCGAAAGGCTAAACAGATTGTCAAATTTGGTCAGCAATTGGTCTATAGCTCCACCAGACCCTCAAGTCACTCAACAGTTTGACCCACGAGCATGCAGTAATTCTCTGAGTTCTAATATAAATCAATATTCACAGCCCAATTTTTGCTCTATAAAGCAACCTGCCAACAGTATAAGATCATTTTTCCGGCAAGGGCATGACTTGAAAGTTGAGGATGATCACCGGGAGATTGACGCGACCAGGGCTTTATGTCGAAGGTCATTTAACAGCAATGGAATCAGATATCAAATGGGAAATAACAACTCCATAGTAGGAGAGAATGGAAAATACTACTTTGGAGGATTAGATGTGCCATGCACCAATACAAGAAATTTCTCAGATGCTGTATCTTTCAATAGTTGTTTAAGCAAGCCCTTGGTGGACATTAATGCATCTAAACCTCTCCTGAAAACCATGAATATATCAGATTCTAAGAGGCAGGGGATCCAATCCTCTTGTCCAGTAAGCTCTCTCTCTCTCTCTCTCTCTCAGATGTGATAGAATCCAAAAAGATTTATTCATGTGAATATATTCCAGTAAAGTATACACGATGATCTGTATGTGTGTGTAAAAAAAAACCAATCAATAATTCATGGATATAGTTATTGGTCATTTCATCCGTGGAAGTAGAGACAATGTGCAGAATCACGTATATTTTAGTTTTCTGGCTTTCCTTCGTTTTATCATCTTCAATTTGTTTCGTTTTCTAAGTTTCTACTTCTGTGTATATTTGTGTTGATTTTGTTTGCTCCCAGTTATTTTTGTTTTTCTTCTCACTTTTTAAGTCAAGAAAAATGTTATTTGGACCTAATTTGGAGACCTAATCTAAGGACCTAATTCAATACATTCATTGAATTGATTGTGGATTCCATTTAACATTGAAACTCACAACTAATTCAATTATTATATTAAAGTCACATCATTAGGTCCTTAAATAAAATCCCTATAGCATTGCTATAGAATTTGATGGGTTCCTTTGTAGCAGAAGTTTCAGCCTACAATATCAACATCCTCCACACTGACAAGAAGCAGTGGAAGGGGACAGGGAGTTACAAGTGAAGGAAAAAAGAAAAGGTCTGAAGAGAACTCAGACACAGTCTTGAAGAAGTCCAAGCTTGAGGGTTCTACAGCCTCATCTGCTAAGGTATATTCATAATCATATGGGTAATACGACAAAGAAAACCGCAGGCTTTTTCGTAGTGGGGATTTTCATTTTTTCTTCTTTTCCTTGGATAATAGCTCCAGGTTCCAAAGGTCAAACTCACAGAAAAAATCACATCCCTTCAGCAAATTGTTTCACCTTTTGGAAAGGTTAGTACAAAAGTTTAAAACCTCTCCACACTATTTCTATACTTGATTGAGCTTATTATTACAACCATCACCACACTAACACTGAGGCATGTATTATTGATATTATTTTGCAAAATAGTTCCTTTTTAATACTCCTCCGATTAATGTCTCAGACCGACACGGCATCGGTGCTAGGGGAAGCAATTGGATATATAAAGTTTCTGCAAGAACAAGTGCAGGTAATACCCTCACAACTTTTTTTTACATTAACGCTGTTACAGTAGCACGCAAAAACCCAATCATCATTCACATTAGTTTATTGCTGGTATTGCCAGATTACTTCAAATTAACTCCCCTTCCCCTCAACCCAAAAAAAAAAAAAAGAACAACTAGCTTGCGCCTTGAGAACTTAGTATCTTTATGCATTGCGCCACAAAGGCGTCAGCTAAACCTAGCTATGCTGGTGTGGATGCATGATAAATTATACTCTGACTGTATTTAGGGACAAGGAAGCAAGATTTGCATCCTCTAGCATCTTTATTCAACTTAGTGAATCAAGAGGAGAACAAAAAGACATGTTGAAATGTTGTTGGACAAAATTGATAGGGAATTATGTAATTATATTTTTTTTTTTTTGCATAATAATGGACCTAGCCAAATAGGGTTACATTAATAACGGCAACCAATGGCCAACTCAAGAAAAATAGTTGTAATTCTCCTATTCAGAAGGCTCTAATATCCTTTAGATATGATTTCTAGTAATGAATTTGATTCATACTTTTTGCAGCTATTGAGCAACCCTTACAGGAAGAGTAATGTCACCAAGGTAAGCAAATGAAAATATACTTGTCTTACTTCTTGGCTGAAAAATATTCTTGAAAAGTATAATTATCTTGTGCTCGGTTCAGGACCCATGGGGAGGATCGGATAGAAAAGACCGAGGAGATGTAAAGCTTGATCTCAAAAGCCGAGGCCTTTGTTTGGTTCCCATTTCCTGTACCCCTCAAGTTTATCGTGAGAACGTGGGATCAGATTACTGGACTCCGTATAGAGGATGTTTATATAGATGATCCATTCAAGGTTCTCTTTCATTCTTCTGATGGTCAATGTTATACTGTTAGCCGGAGTAAGGCAATACTTTGATTAAGCGAAAATAACTGGATGACCACAGAATGATAATACTAATGGCTCAGTAACCAGTGTTTGATATTGTGTTTTTAGAGTTGAAACGAGAAAGAAGACTAGAAAATATGATCATGTAACTTCAATCTTTTGGTTTTATATTTTGATGCATTTTGTGGGAAATTTATAAAGACTGTTAGTGAAAAGTACTTTTTTCAAAAAGAAATACTTTGCGATTTAATTNAAGAGAAAGAAGACTAGAAAATATGATCATGTAACCTCAATCTTTTGGTTTTATATTTTGATGCATTTTGTGGGAAATTTCTAAAGACTGTTAGTGAAAAGTACTTTTTTCAAAAAGAAATACTTTGCGATTTAATTCACAGGATCAAAAAACAAATATTGAAATCTTCAACTACCCAACATTACCTTTTTTTTTTTATTTTTTTGGGAAAAAAAAGTATACCCCAACACTCCCTTTATACTAAGCAATAACAGTTTTCCGGGGCTGCCATTATACACTTTCCCATGCCTGGTGTAAGGTTTTGCATTGTCCCTGCTCAATGTTATCCTCAAAGTGGAAAGCAATGCAGGTTAAAAAATACCCAATTTGTCCAAGAGATAAGGAATTTCAATTAATATGTATTCCTTTCCAACACAATCACCTCATTCTGATATTTGCCAATAAAACATTCACTAATATTATTGAAACATAATTTAAGAACATAATTTGATTACATTAGATTGATAGTGGGGTTCATTTAATACTGGAACCTATTGACAATCCAATAAACTTTGGATGGAATGTGATTTACAAATAATTTCAGAAGGATTTTTGACTACCCATCTTCTAATCAGGTTGCCATTCGTCTTGTTAATTTTGAAATTGAATCCGACATTTATTCTTTGTGGTCTTCTTCTCCGGATTTTATATCTTCTTCCGTTAATAGGGATATAATTAATTCTCTAAATTTTAGATTTAAATAATGATGTATTGCACGCACGCATGTCATTTTTTTTTTCGCTGTGATTCTTAATTCAATTTCGGAATTGTATTAGTTACTTAGGGTAAGGCTCTTTACGTCCCCCTATTTTAGGTTGTAATTTAGCTTTTCCTTATTCAAAAAAATTATCTCGTACCATTCGAAGTTTTGTTGGAAAAAAAATCTTTTATTACTACTTGTGTGCTCCATCGTGTGCTATAGATGTATTGCCAATTTTTATAACACTTGATCGTATAATTCCATTTATTTTTTATAATAATGATACACTCATATCTATATAATAAAATAGTTAGATTGTTTGTGTCGAGTTTTTCGCGATTCAGATCGTTTTGATCCGTTGGTCATAATCGAACTTTCATTCTTTTTACAACTCTAAGACTCATCTCTTATATAACTCTCTCTTTCTATTTATCTTATACTTGCTCTCTCTCACACTATTATCTTTTTTTTTTGTTTCGTGTGTGCTTGTTTTTTGTTATTAATTATTTATTTCAAGAAAATAATTCAAAGTTTTTATATATCTGATGACATGTATTTTGCTACTTGCTTCTTAATTTATAAATAACACTTAATTTAAATAAAAAATAACACATTGACTATAAAAATCAAATAATATTCAACATGAAATGAACCTTAAATTATTAATTAATATATAATTTAATCAAACATTGACATTAAATTTTGTCCAATTTATATTCAAATTTTTCAAATTAATATCAAATTAATTTTTATTGTTATCAAATTAATATTGAAAGTCATTTAATCAATTTTTTGGAGTACTATATTATATTAATTTTTTGGGTACTAAATTTGGAAAAGAACAATTGCAAAAATAATAAAAAAATTTGAGATGAAATTATTAATTTCCATTAGCAATATTGAAGAATTATTTATAGAATGTCAGGAGGTGTCCGTGTAATATTGCCAAAATTGAGAGGATGTCCGTGATTTTTACCTTTTTTTAATTAAATATTAATTTATTATTATTTTAACTTAAAAACTTGAATTATTGTATTTCTAATAGAATAAATTATTGGTTAAGAGGGTTTGTTAGTAACCAAAAAAGAAATGTATGTGGGGTGTGTTTTTGTGTATATTTATATATGGAGGATTGGACATTTAGAAATTAAATTTATAATTATATTGTATTATTTGGAGTTGAATGGTAATAAATTCATTAGTTTTATAAATGAGTAAGATTTAGTTGATTTTATTTATCACTTAAAGATTATGAATTTAATTGTGTTATGTTAGTATTTTTTGTTTTTTGCTTGAAGTATTTATTACATGAGAATAGGGTGAATTGAAAATATAGTAGTTGAGGTTATAATTATATTGTGTTATTGGATTGAGTGGTAGTGTAGGTAATAAATTAGTGAATCTTATAAATGAGCAAGATTCTATTTATTGCTTAAAAATTATAAATTTCAATGAGTTATGTAATATTTGTCTTTTTAGGCATTTGTATATATGATGTTATTTTGGGGAGTTTTTATATATTTTTATGACAATTTCATTAATATGGAGGATATGATCGACGATATATTGTGAGTCATTTTAAAAGAAAAATTGATGTGAATAATTTTAGGTCATTCATTTTGAATTTAGACAATTGTTTAAGATTTTTTTGTTTATCGTATAGTACTTTCAGGTACGAACAATGACCAATATATTTATATAATAAAAGAGCTAACTTTATTTGTTTTGGGTTTTTTGCAGCTCAGATCGTTTGAGGATTATTGATCCAACAATCCTAATTAGACTTTCATTCATTTTACAACTCTAAAACTCTTATATATATATATCTATCTTTGTCTATCTCATACACCCAACTCTCATACGTAGATAACACTCTCTTTCTCTATCTATCTCATATCTCTTTTAAACACACACATAGTGTGTGTGTGTGTTTGAATTTTATTTCAGTCATATTTTTTCACTCATATTTTTTCCCTCAAAACTATCACCAATCACTTACCTCACCCATAATATTTTTGTTAGACTCAAATGTCAAATCGCATCACTTATTTCTATCATATATTTCATTATTTATATATTTTTTCTTAAAAATATCACATCACTCATTTCTATTATATATTTAATCATTTAATATTTGATTAATTTATAGTTAATATATTTTGAAAAAAATTAATATAATGGAATCAATTTTTTAGACGTTCGAATTTTATATTTTATCGTGCCTTCACAGGTTATGACTAGTATATATAAATCCTATCTCTTAGACATTTTAAACACATTCTCTCATCTCTCATATAACTCTGTCTTATATCTTTTTTAAACACAGACGCTCTTATTCTCATATAACTCTCTATTTCTATATCTCTCTCATAGACGTTTTCTCTCTCACACTCTATTTTCTTCTATCTCTGTCAGTATCTTTATCTCTCTCTCCTATCTCTTAGGCATTTTAAATGCACACTCTCTCATATCTCATATAACTNCTGTGTCTCTATCTCTCTCTCCTATCTCTTAGGCATTTTAGATGCACACTCTCTCATCTCTCATATAACTATTGCTCTTTATCATCTCATGTCTCTATTAAACACAGGCGCTCCCATATTTCATATAACTCTCTCTATCTTATATCTATTTTAAATACACACTCTATATCTCTCTCTCTCTCGCTCTCGTATCTTTTTTAAGCACATACTCTTTATATTATATATATATATATATATATATATATATCTCATACACTCTCTCTCTCCTATCTCTTAGACATCACACACTATCCCATATAACCTAGCATTATTTGTTTTTAGTTTTTTTCGGCTGAAATCGCTTTAAAATTAATTATCCAACGATCTTAATTATTCTCTAAATTTATTTTTCTGCTCAAGAATTGGATTAAGAGTTTTATATTATGTCTAATTCTAGACTCTCATCTCTCATACATCTCTATCTCTCAAGTTCTCTCATATACGTATTCTCCTCTTTCTGTCTCACTCGCACTCTCATATACATGTCTCTTTCTCTCTCTCTCTCTCTCTCTCACACACACACCCCACATCACCACCCCTGCCAACGCCGCATTGCCACCATCATTCCCAAGTAATTTTTCATCTCTTTTGCTTCGTTCTTCATCCCATTTGTTACACACAGAACAAACACTCATAGACAACCCACTGTTTGCCTCCAAACCCCACTACCACACCTATTTCTCTCTCTCTCTCTCTCACATGCACGCACACCCCTGCCAATGCCATAGCGCCCCCACCTCCAAACCCCACCCACCACCATATCTCACTACCACCAAAGCCCACTGTTCGTCTCCAACTATTGTCTCCACCTCTTCCTACTTTACTACTACATTTACTTTAGTTTTGGCAAGAGTATATACTCTAAATTTCTTGCGTTGTGCTTTTATAAGATACTTTTAGTGGAGATGACAAACTATGGTGACGTTAATGGCATGGTGTCCAAAATAGATAAAACCATCAGAAGATGAGCTAAATATGGCTATGCTTGGAAACTTAAAAGTTGGTGAGGAATATTGTCCCACCGCTCATCTCAGTTTTACTTCGTGTTTTAGCGTTTTTCTTTCTAGTTACATCCTAATTGCAATTTTCCCTATTTTATAGGTCAAATGCATTATATGCTCCTTATGATTTTGACCGTTATCATCTATGATGGCCATTTCTTGAGGTTGTTAATGTGGCGTGTTGAATGAATATAGTAATAAATTTTATAAATGTTTCTGCAGTTATTTTGGGGCTGTACTGGATATTTTTATCACATTAGACTATGATTTTCCATGCCGAAGTAACAATGATGTGGGACTAAGGTATTTGGGTATGTGGATTAGAATCATTTTTTCTGCTATTGTTTTTGTATCTTGGCATTTTTTTTCATTTTAGCATTTGAAAAATAACTTTTTTTTTTGTGAATTACATTTTATTAGTTGAATATCAATGGGTTTGTTA